GTAGATTCATTCATTTCTGCGAACATCCTTCGAGATGTTCATGCTAGTTGTAAACTAGTCAGTCGGTCTTTGTCTTTGGTAGTTTATTGCTGTACCCAGGGTGGTGATGGTGTGCAGGTTGTTTCGGGGGAAGTGGAGCTTGTCGTGACTGCTGTGGCGTTTGTTGATCCCGCTGGCTGCCATGTTGGTGAGCGCCACCTCCTCCTGGATCTCTGCAGACAGATAGACAGACAGACAGATAGATAAAATGACAGACGGACAGACACAGACAGACAGATAGACACACAGACATATATGATGCAGTGAGCTGATGTTACCATATCAGTGTACTCCATTATCATGTAGTGCGGCTCCACTTCTCGACAGATGCCCATCAGACGAGCGAGATTAGCATGGCTGAGCTTAGCAAACATGTCACACTCACGACGGAAATCCAACTGCATCTGCTCGTCGCGTGCCTGCAGACTCTTCACCAGCACTACCGTCTCCTCCTCATCCTCAGTGGCCTTCGCTTTAGCCAGCAGCACTTCACCAAACTCTCCTTTACCTACATGAGGAGAAACAGAGTAGATTCATTCATTTCTGCGAACATCCTTCGAGATGTTCATGCTAGTTGTAAACTAGTCAGTCGGTCTTTGTCTTTGGTAGTTTATTGCTGTACCCAGGGTGGTGATGGTGTGCAGGTTGTTTCGGGGGAAGTGGAGCTTGTCGTGACTGCTGTGGCGTTTGTTGATCCCGCTGGCTGCCATGTTGGTGAGCGCCACCTCCTCCTGGATCTCTGCTGTGGTGTGGCCGTTCTGTTGGACGTCTCCTATGGGTCGATCAGAGAACTGGATCAGAGAACTGGGTCTGTTTTTTCACAACTGCATGCTAGCAGAAGTTACCACCACACACCGTTGAGACATTCCAGCTCTTGCTCGTCTCCATCCTGCCCCTTATGGACTCTCTTGGCATTGCGCCTCTGCTTGCAGTAAAACATGAGGCCCAGCACGATGATGATGTAGGCCACAGCCGCCCCCACCGACAGACCGATAGTCTGGATCATTTTGTAAGGGGTCTTTTCATCATCTGCTAATGAGTGCTGAACTGGTTTTTCTGTAGATGACCACAAACACACAAAATGCACACAGTAAACACCAGGGTTTTTAGAAAGAGCGTCGCTTTTCTCAGCTCCCAGCTTAAATAGTCTCCTTAAAGGAATCAAGTGACAAGCTGGCATTAAGATTCAATTAGGATCTAACAGTCCTGAACTCGCACCGCAACACAATTTGATGTGCCTCTCCTTTCTCTGAAGTCAACACGCCGCTAGACTCAAAGCATTTGTAATTCAGCGTAATATGGAAATTGAGTTGGTAGTCCGAGATGGGCCAGAATTGGTTTAGGGTGAACTTTGAAACTGTATTGCAGTATATATCAGGTTTCAAAGAGCCATACAGTACCAAAATTGGTTAAACACGGCTGCGAGGAGTACACAGCTCCAAAAACAGCAGTGGCAGACACACAGAACAAGAATTATAATTGGTTTGAAGGATAAGAGAAGATTAATCATTCACAACTTTTAACTAGCAGGAAATGGTCCCATTGAGTGCTGCAGGGATGATGTATTTTTGTAGACCTACTAAGAAGTTAGCATCACCTTGGTTCCCTTGTAGTATTTTTCCATTGGCTTTTGAATTAATCGCAGAAAATAAGATCTGTGACCGGCAAAAGTTTATGAATTCTTAAGCCTAGATACACCAATCACGAGTGCGGAATATATTAAATATATTAACTCTACAGACCACAGACCTTAACCACAGACCTTATTTTCAAGCAATTAACCAAAAACATAGTAAAAACCCCACTGACTTCAGAATCGAATGAGAAGTTGGTCATGCGTATTAGTCACTGCTGGGTTTGAAAGTGACTTCTGTGTGAGCTGTGCTTCATACATCACTACACTATTGACAATTGAACAAATCAGCAAAAATATTGCCAATGTGACCTTTATATTGCTGTGTGTGTCAGCTTGGAAGGGTGAAATGCACAAATTCCAAGTACGGGACACTATACTTAGCCACACGTCACTTTCACTTCACTTTATGTCCTTTGCACCTTTACTTCCTGTTTTTAATGTCTTCACAGTTAAATGTGCTGTGTTACAGAAAAACAGTTTGGAATATCAAAGAGTTTCCAAGTTTTAACTTCAGCTTTTTTTATATTTGCATACTTGTGTGCTGCAGAAGTTCCAAAAAGTACATTTTTGACTGAATTAAAAATGGTAGACAGGCAATATGGCTGACCTTGAAAGCTGGCAATCAAGATGATTTAATTGAGTTATGAGTTTAATTCGATTTTTTGGGGGGGGGGTATTGGGTATTGTTCTAATGACTTTTGACAGGGAAAGTTTCAATGTAATGTGACCAAAATTTGGGCAATAGCCAAAGGATGCTATAGGAGAAGTTTGAAAAGTATGTTTTCAAATAAGTTCAAAGTTTAGAGTTTGCATTTTATGCATTCTAAAGTGAAACTGCATTCAACAATTATAAATAAGGCATTGCTAGTATAATGAAACGTGGACATATTACCAAAATAGCAAAATACCAAAATAGAACCAAGAGAAAAGTTAGCAAATCATTAAATTCTAATGAAAAACCAAACATTTTATTTCTATGGAATAACACACTGATGAATTGCTAACGAGACCTTTAACATATATTTCTGATACTGACCAGCCTTAAATGTGCATGTAAGGGGGTTTGAAACAAACCGCAAATCTGGCTGATATATGTTGAGACCCTCCTTAATCAGTGGACCAAATATTACAACAATCCAGCTTTAGCGGCTGCAAAAAGACACTCATCCAGAAAAGAAAACCAATGGATTTGGTGCTTGAAAAATGAGGAGGGTGTCAGACTCACCAACAACGTAAAGCTCTGTTGAAGTGTGTGCAATGTTACAGCTGTTTCCTGCGATGCAGGTGTAGCTTCCTGTGTCCTCCGTGCTGACGTCATGAACCACCAGAGAGCCGTTGGGCATCTTCTGGAATCTGAATTACAAATAAACCAGAAGATTCGGCATTGCACGGCTTAAGAGTTCTTCCTTCAAATCTTCCAATGAACCCGCTTCAGTCAGGACTCGATAAAGCCGAAATTGTGATGCATGTGATTATTTGGTTTTACCTGCTCTTGTCTGCCTCCAGAAATTTGTCTTTTTTCTTCCACTGGATAAAGGGAAGAGGGTCTCCAGTGGCCTGACAGTGAAGCACTGTGGTGTGTCCCTGATATACTGTCATATTCTCCGGCTTGAGCTTAAACGCCACATAAACTAAAGAATGGGAATAGAAAGAAAATAAACACAGAGACAGAAATGTCAAGGTCCAACACTAATTCAACTCTGTCTCTTGTCTTGTCCATATGGATCAAGCAAAGCCATTTCTCCCCAGTACCTGCGACGGTGAGCTGGACGACGGCTCTGATCTCTCCCTGCTGGCTGTTGGAGGCGAGGCAGGTGTAGTTCCCGGCGTCCGCCCACGTCACGGTGCTGAAGTGCAGCGTGCCGCCCTTCTGCTCCACCCACGCAGGGATATCACTGCCGTCTGCACACACATTCACCAAATCAAAACCCAGGACTGCCATGAACTTCATCCAGCAGCAGATGTTCTCATTTTCAAGGACACACAATGCAAAGCTTTCTTCACTGCACAAACATAGACTAAAGCAATAAGCCCCGTGAAGCTGTGGTTTACAGTGAATTTATAACAGCTAAGGGGCGTTGTTAGGCACGACAATGAAGCATGAAGCAAAGCTAAAACCCCCTTAGCTGTTTATAAATTCACTGTAAACCACGGCTTCACGGGGCTTATTGCTTTTATAAAATGGTTATTCCATATACGTAGTAAGGTTTCACAAAATAAAACAGAGCAAATAAAGTGTAATGATATTAATAAAAACAGTATTCTTCCACCAAACAATGTAGTTCCTCAGAAACAGTTGTGGTTCCAACAAAGTGGTTGCAACACACAGAAGTAAACAAAGGTGTGTGTTTGTAGAGTAATTTACAACAGCTTCGAACGCGGCTCAACCAATCAGAATCAAGGACCGGAACTCTCCATTTTATAAAAGTAACTCAATAATACTCCACTTGTGTTTTTTAAACTTTTATGCGTCTTCAAAAAAGCTTAAATGCTAAATGGGACTACAGAAGTTGTTGGGGACATTTAAGTTGCGAAGAAACGGAAGCAGCGGCAGATCTTTTCTTCTGTATCGCGACATGCATCCGACTGAAACGGACTATCGAAAATGAAAAAAAATGTAGGATGGGACTTGGTTCTATGTAGCAACATATGCAGTGATGACTGGATGTTGGGATGTGGGCACTGCTCTCAAAAGTGGAGGCAGAGGAACGTGAGCTTTGACGGGAATAATGATTGGAAAAGTCCTGCATACATCTGACATTTTCACCAAAAGGTCCAGTTATGACATTCTGATTAAACGTTACGAAGTCAAAAAATACAAGGATGAATTGCTCACAATAAGATCTATAACATGCATTTAGAAAATAGATTTCCATTTCATGGCATTTCATTTAAATGGCATCGAGCAAATCACAAGTCTGGCTTTACAGCTGCTTTTCTCTAAGCACAGTAGATACCTATCAGGAAGTTTTTTTTTAAATAAAGCTTGATAAGCTTAGTGATAGTGATGGCGATTATATAAAATACTTTTTATAAAGTCTTTCATAAAATGTTTTTTTTGTTTTTTTTTATTCCAAACTCTTCAGTTTTCGGAATATCAAAAATTTTCCAAGTTTTATCCACTGTGTATATTATGTGTTGCAAGTACATTTTTGACAATATGGCTGATCTTGAAAGTTGGCTTTCAAGATCATTTAATTGAGTTATGAGTTTAATTATTCGGTATATCAAGCATTTGAAATTGTGTGATTTCTGACTGATCAAATACAAAGTTTTAATAACTTTTGACCGGGACAGTCTCAAGTGTCATGTCACCAAAATTTGAGGAATAGCCAAAGAATGCTACAGGAGTTTGGGAACCACATTCAACACTCTTAACATGTTTTGGGCTCAAATTCCCAGTGGTAGTCAATCTTCTCAGCCAGACCTGTCCTGAGCCAGCGGATGGTCGGGGTCTGTCGGCCCTTGGCTGAACACTGCAGGTGTCCTTCCTTATTGAGCTCCAGGCACTGGTAGGCCTGCGGCGTCGGCGTGAACTTCAGACGCTCTGAAACAGATACCGCAACAGTGAATGCTTGGTGAGAAGTGCTCTGCAACACACAGTCTCGAGTGGCTTTTATATATATAGGCATTATCCCAGCCACCTTGACATCCAGACCATGGCATCAGCCATTGAAAAACCCACTATGAAGCAGCAGTTAAATTTAGAAATAAAACAGCACACAACAAATGCTCCTCACCAAGCACATATACCCGCGCCTGGGCGTTCAGTTTTCCCGCCTCCGTTTTGCTCTCACAGCTGTACAGGTGGCCATCGTACACCTCCACGTTATTTATACACAGCGTGCCATTCGAGAAGAGCTTGAAGCGAACGTCCTTTATGAAAGCGAGAGAGCGTGTGACAACATGATTACTACATTAATGTTTACTTCAGGATCCACTGTGCAGCAGAGGATCATCTTTCCCCAGTAGAAAGATCACCACATCTTCCTTTTCAGAGACATCACAAGGTTCCTCTCGCCTCAGGATGCAGTTAGAGATTGTGTTGCGAATATGATATCGGCATGACATCACTGTCCCACTCACCTCTGCGCTGATTGGCTGCATGTTGCGGTACCATGTGACCTCGGGTTCAGGTGTGGCGCGTGTGTGGCAGTGCAGGTATCCAGCGCGCCCCTCCTCCAGCTGACTGTCCGCGGGTTTCTGGATCCACTCCGGTTTGGCTGGACACACAGAGCAGATGTTTAGGATCACAGCAGCAATAATGGACAAGAGTTTAAACGACATTACAGTTTTACAGCAGACATCTGGTGAAGGAATATTATAACATTGTTTACTTCGTCTCTTTGAGGGAAGTCAGTAAACTTAGCAACACCCAGGTCCTATTATTTATGCAGGTAAATCTAACTTAGATAGATAGATAGATAGATAGATAGATATATAGATACTGCTAGCATGCTTTAGGACATTGCTGGCAAGTTTTACCACGTTGCTAGCATGATTTTAGACTCTGCTAACAAGTTTTACCATGTTGCTGGAATGGTTTTAGACTCTGCTAGCATGTTGCTAGCATGATTTTAGACTCTGCTAGCATGTTTAAGCATGTTGCTAGCATGATTTTAGACTCTGCTAGCAAGTTTTACCACGTTGCTAGCATGATTTCAGACTCTGCTAGCATGTTGCTGGCATGATTTTAGACTGCTAGCAAGTTTTACCACGTTGCTGGAATGATTTTAGACTCTGCTAGCATGTTGCTAGCATGATTGTAGACTCTGCTAGCATGATTTTAGACTGCTAGCAAGTTTTACCACATTGCTGGCATGATTTTAGACTCTGCTAGCATGTTGCTGGCATGATTTTAGACTCTGCTAGCATGTTTAAGCATGTTGCTAGCATGATTTTAGACTCTGCTAGCATGTTTAAGCATGTTGCTGGCATGATTTTAGACTGCTAGCATGTTTAAGCATGTTGCTAGCATGATTTTAGACTCTGCTAGCATGTTGCTAGCATGATTTTAGACTCTGCTAGCTTGTTTAAGCATGTTGCTGGCATGATTTTAGACTGCTAGCATGTTTAAGCATGTTGCTAGCATGATTTTAGACTCTGCTAGCATGTTGATAGCATGATTTTAGTCTCTGCTAGCTTGTTGCTATCATGATTTTAGACTCTGCTAGCTTGTTTAAGCATGTTGCTGGCATGATTTTAGACAGATTCATTTAAACAGTAGGTCAATAGTGCAATACATTAATAACATTATTACTATTGTTTCTCTCCTTTAATTTTTCCATTAAACATCTCCACACCAGGACTACTGCTCTGAAACCCTGTTGCATCACACTAAAAATCACAGCTAAAAAATGAAATCTGGTTACTTCAGCTGACATGTCTCTAAGGGAAGTTTTTAGACTGAGAATAGTAATGTATTTAAAGTCCTGAAAGGTCCTGTTGTGTCACACTGAGAGGCTTTCTTAGTGTTATAGATCACCTACAGGACTTTAATTCATAAGACAGTATGGGTCATAATGAAGGGAAATTGGTGGAATGTGAGATATTCAGTAGAGGACAGTAGGGCCCGAAACACATGCTACTGCAGGACGCAAATTAACAAGCTAGATTTGTTTGCATTGTTCTGAAATGTGTTACATCCGTGTTGCATTCTTAGTATTAGCCAGACAGGAAAACCTTTCAGTCATAGCAACAGTTTAAACAACTGAGCAAATTAGTTACTGCACAGACATTTGAAGGAAACTCTGTCACCGCCTTGAGCACACGTTATGCACCACAGGACATGCACTTGCATTCACATTTGCCGATGTTTCTTACTTGCGACAGTGACAGTCAACTCTTGTTTCCTCTGTCCAGCCTTGTTTTGTGCAAAACAGGTGTAGGTTCCTGAGTCTTCGCCACGAGTGGGCCAGAAAATCAGGTCTAGTCCGTCCTGGCGCACTCGTCCCTCGGCTGGAACTCGCTGTCCCGCGTATTCCCACCAAACCTCTGGCTCGGGGTGTCCGTGGGGCGCTCGACACGTCACCCGCTCCAGAGAGTCTGCGGTGAACACTCGGGACTGTTTAGGCATCATTTCCTCGATTTCTGAGGAGAAAAGGTGACAAGAAACAGGTTTGAGAGCAAAGCATGGAAGCATGTAATGTGAGGTATCTGAGAAGGGCTCCAAACAGTCCATTCTTCACTGAAAACAATGACATCTGAGCTGTGTACGCCGCTCGGTCCTGTAAAAGCACCCAGGCAGGTGCTGTAAACAGAAAGGGATTAGATGAGCTTCACCACTGAAGCCGCAGATAATTGCTCTGGAGATCAACTTCAAGAGTTCACCAGTCAGTGAGGCCCACACCAGACCTCTCTACAGACAGTACGAGTGAGATGCAGTGCAAACTTTATTAGGGTTGAACAGAAGGGAATCGAACAATTCTTAGTCTGCTTCCAAATTCACTTAACGATTGCATACCTCAAATGAATCCATTAAAGACTCCATGAATAGGAGCTTTGTGGATTTTAATTAATATCTGTGAGGTTTAAGTTAATTTATATGCAGGTAGCATTCTAAAGATTGACAAAATAATATTTCATTAGATTTAGAAAAAAAAAAAACAGGAAGTAGCAAATCATGGTTCTAGAGCTATTATAACAAAGCCTTTTAATATGTCTAGCGCCTACATCACTGCATGTCTAACTGCACATGAACAGGTCTGAGCTTGTTACCTGCAATTCGCAGCGAGGCCTCGAGAGACACAGGGGGGCCACAGGGCCCTTGAGCCACACATTTATACAGGCCTGTGTTTCGCTGCTTCACCTGAGTGATTAAGAGGGATCCATTGCTCAGGATGAAGATGCTGTGGGAAAGATAGAGTTCAGTGGTAAAATGCGTGCTAATTCGCAGGGTAAAGATAACTGTAAATTAATTTGTCACTAAAAGACAAATTTCTGATGGAGCAAATGAATGGGATTTTTGCTTCCAAAATCCAACTGTTCTATTTGAGTCCTCAGTTAAGTCACATGATTCTAACGCTGCAATATTCAAATTGCGCAAATTGAACTCTTTCAAACTTTATAAAGAAGTGCACACATTTCTTCTAACTACACACGAACTGAATTAAAGTGTAGTACCGGCTCTTGTTGGCCACCGGCTCGTTCTCATGGTACCACTCTACGGTAGGCAGCGGTTCGGCTGTGAACTGACAGTGGAAAAGTGCTTCCTCGTTCCTCATGACTACCAAATCGTCTGGCTTCACCACCGGTTGAGGGAAACTCTTATCTACAGAGAGCGATCGAGACCATTTATTATGCAAGGGGAACAGTGACAGATTCTCAAAGAAACACAATAGTACAAACACACAAACCTATGATGTTGAGGGTGAAGTTGTCATTGCTGCACGCATGGCCTGCTGCATTTTTCACACAGCAGTAGTAGACCCCGTTGTCGTCAGGACTGGCGTTCGGCAGTGTAAGCGTTCTGTCTTTGTTGTTGATTTTGTAGCTCTTCTCTGATAGTAGTGCTCCATCTTTGTGCCAGCGATTGGTTGGCCTATAGATTGAGTCAGGAGCATGGTTACTATAGCTGAGAAAACGGCATGAGAAGTTCCTCTAGATCAGGGACCTGCAGAGTTTAGCTCGGAGTCCTCAAGGTCCACTTTCCTGCAGAGTTTTCCTCCAACTCTGATCAACCTCTCCTGCCTGTAACTTTCTAGTGATCCTGAAGACCTTGATTAGCTGGATCAGGTGTGTTTGATTAGGGTTGGAGCTGAACTCTGCAGGACAGTGGATCTCGTGGGGCCAGAGTTGCCCACTGCTGGTTTAGCTGGTTAAAGGGTTAGTTCACCCAAAAATGAAAATTCTGTCATTAATTACTCACCCTCATGTCGTTCCAAACCCGTAAGACCTTTGTTCATCTTCAGAACACAAATTAAGATATTTTTGATGGAATCTGAGAGCTGTCTGACCCTCCATAGACAGCAACGCAACTGAAATGTTCCCAAGACCAGAAACGACTTTATTCAACAATTCGTCTCCTCCGCGTCACCCTAGCACCATTTTGGAGAGTATCAGCTGGACGTAAACAACGTATGCTGTTCTGTGTCCGCTGCATCACACAGCGGACACAGAACAGCATACGTTGTTTACGTCCAGCGGATACTATCCAAAATGGCACCAGGGCGGAGGAGACGAATTGTTGAATAAAGTCGTTATTTTTTTTTTCTTTTGCGCACAAAAAGTATTCTCGTAGCTTCGTAAAATAACGGTTCAACCCCTGATGTCACATGGATTATTTTACCGATCTCCTTGCTACGTCTCTGGACTTGGGAACATTTC